AGTAGATCGGGGTATAAGCTGTCTTGTTAAATCAGACACACCATCACAGTCAGTTGCCCCTAGACAAATTTGACCCTTTAACTCGCAGACGCACCCTGCAGTTGCCCCTGACCCCTGCAATCTCAACACACTAACTGCATATGCTCGAGCAACCCCGATAAGCGGCCTCTGTACGCTTCTCTGTACGACTGCATGACTCATTGCTGCTTTCATAGTCGTCCACTGTTACACCAGCAGCAAACTTACTGCCTGTAGCCCTGTGATGGTGTGCTGTGGCGTTGTCATTTTGGCAAGCACATTTGCCCAGCAAATCTCAGACTGGCTTTGCTCCCTCTGGCCAGACTTTGGTGCACTGGTTGACTTAATAATCATGCCAGAAAGCTTGCTTGGTATATTATATAGCCTTTATTATTTGGAGCTAATTCTATGTGACAGCTAGATGTTAACAGGACCACACAAAACTCTGACACTGTGCAAAATGCAAAAGAATCTAAGTGAAACATATATGTTTAATAAAGGGGCTTGGAGTCGTGGTGTCTGTGACAAATATGAACAGGGATAAGAAAAGTCATTAGGCAGGGCGAGATATTCAAACTGTCAGATTCTTCTTCTAGCTACACATATTCAGTGTTGGGAAGGTTATTTTTAAAATGTATTCCATTACAGATTACAGAATACATGCCCCAAAATGTACTCTGTAACGTATTCTGTTACGTTACTCAATGAGAGTAACGTAACAGAATACTTTGGATTACTTAATATATTATCATGCTTTTTACAACTACGTGAATGTACTATTGCTGTGATTTATTACTATTACTGAAGGTCTGAACCGTAGTAAAGGGACCTCTGGCTAATACGTCGGGTTCCATGTTGGGCTGTAGCCGAAAAATAGCTTTACTTTGTTGTGTGGAGAGGCGTTGAAAGACTGCTGCTACGGAACTTGTTGTTTCGGAGGAAAACACGAACACGGTGTACAGTCAAGTCTTAATAGCGTACTTACAACTGGGCTCGTCAGGCTCTCTTCTTGGCTGCAGTGGTTATTATTATATTTACATGCTTCCAGCTCCCGTTTTTGCTCGATGACAGCTCGTACTTTTCCTTTTTCTCCCTCCCTCGCTCACAGACACATAACGAGTATGGCAGTCCATTCTCCCTGCAGCACGGACTACACTGCCTATGATGCTACATTCTTTAGAGCTATGCCTGTAGCATTCTGCCTATTAGCTTAGCACAACAACAACAAAAAGGCGCTCTCTCACCCAGGAAACATGTAAAGAGAGAGCGTCACCCTGTAACCATGGCAACCGTAACGCTGCCGCCTGGAACAACAGAACGTAGCTGTCAAACAAAACCCAAACAGTCCTGACCCGCCACAATATGAAACAGGGAAGTACCACCGTGTAATCCATTTATTTCAACAAAGTAACTGTATTCTAAATACCACCTTTTTAAACGGTAACTGTAACGGAATACAGTTACTCATATTTTGTATTTTAAATACGTAACGGCGGTACATGTATTCTGTTACTCCCCAACACTGCACATATTATCAGTGGTCTAAGAGATATTTGGATCTCTGCTTTTTTTGCAAAGTAAGCGAAAACAAACATTTTTCACGTTTTATTTCTTGATTGTCGTGTTGTCAGCATTGCTCACTGAGTGATTATAAGCTATTCTCTCATAAGTTGTCGTGATCAGAGTTTAGACAAAATAATTAAACAACTGTGCTCAAGTACTTGCTGTTGCCCCAGATGCCTCACAGCCTGTATAGAGGCTGATGGCAACAACCTGCAGCCACTGGCTGAGGACCTGTGTTGCATTGATCCGATTGCATTAATCAAGGTTGTTTACAGAGAGAAAACAGCAACCAATGATGGATGGCTGCTGGTAATTATGCAACAGCCCTCAAGCATCACACCTCTCACTAATGGTGAGCTGACACAGTCAATGACAGTAGTCCACAATCGTAGTTATTTTTACTCTTTTCAGTGCCTCTGTGATGCATTTAGAAGGTGTAAAGAAAAGCGGCAGGATGGAACAAAGGAATGGGAGAGATAGAGGCACAAGGAGCTTCTGTTTATATGATCACAGCCCTTTGCCCCGCTGATCAAGACAGAGTAAGAAGGCACAAGTGGCAGAATGAGAATTCATTTCATTTTAATAATTGTCGGCTTCTTCATTAACGAGCCCTCTTCCCCTCCTTGTTTTTTCACCAAGGAGTACTTCTCTCGGAGAGTGGCTACATTACCAGCTTAGTGGCTCATTTAACCCTGTACTGCAAGTCCTTAGTGTTGCTGTTTGCCTTGTTACCTGGGCAGTGAAGTAAGGCTTTACTTAATTTCACTGCAAGCAATATCACCACCAACTTCATCACAATCGGTCTGAGGCAGTCAGTGTTCTCCAGTGATCACCTATGGGTTTAGGATCAGGACATTAAATTCTTTCAAGTTTTAGTGAAAACTGAAATGAAATGTTAATTCACTAGCACTTAATGAGGTAACATTTACACATCTAGATATTTACTGTAATTAAACCTGGTGATGGTGACATTTTAAGCATTCCCTAGGGCTTTAGCTTAGGGAATGCTCTACATGCTTAGGGAATGTAGACTAAAAGGAGTAATACTTTAAGAAGAAAACACAAGTTGACATTTTATTAAAAACTAGTCAAAAATGTCATTGAACTTGACACTTACCGTAATTGTTTTTTTAAAAACACGTTGATTTTTTTTTAACGTTGAATACGTTTGAAAAATTGAACAGGGTAGTGGGACAAGGAGGGGGGCAGCAGTGAGCCTTTAGAGCTACAGACAACAATCTATACGTCTCCAACTTCTCAGCAAGGCTAACAGCTCTGGTCACAGTGCTCTTCATTTTGGGGATTCATGCTGTTTGTAGCATAAAATCAGATAATCACCGGTTACAGACTTAATCCGTCTTGCCCACATAGGTATTAAACTACTTTAACTGAAAGCATTTTTATTTTAAAATCAACAAAAGTCAGCAAAACTCGTCTTTAACCTTTGACAGTGGACTTGCATCCCCACCTTATCTGTGCTTTCCCTTCAGTGTTTCCAACTTTGACCATAGAGCCTAACGGGTCTCTGGCTGCACTTTTACCACCTTCTGCCCAGAGCTTTTTGTTGCTTGGCTAGCCCGGCCAGAGGAGCATACATTTTTGTCCGCCATTGTTAGAGGTATTATAGCCAAATGACTCTTGCTGTGTGGGTAGCGGTGGACCTGGCTCTCCTGTGGCCTGTAGAAACCAGGGAAAATACATATTACATGGACTCCATTCTGAAGCTGTAGCTGTTCCCATTCATTTTTGTTGTACTTTTCTAACTTTTACACTCTTACATCAGCCAGCCAGCTCTACTGCAGCTCTGTTGCACTTTTTTTTCCTTAGGTTTTTGTGGGGCTCTTTTTTTTCTGTCTTCGCTGTCATCCATTTTCACATTTTATCTCTGCACTCCTGCATATCTTCGTATCAGCTTTAATTTCTCTGCTTGCAACTTTCCTCCACACTTGCTTTCTTTGCATCTATATAGCAGCCTCTTCCTTTCACATATGAGGGATCAAAGTGTTTCTTTCACATTTTATGTAGCCAAAGGAAAAAAAAATAATGAAAAAACAATATAATGAAAAAGGGACAGGGGTAAATGGGAAAACGGTTCTCCAGTGAGCAGTGTGTGTTCTTGCCAAGTGGGGCCATCAATTGATGGTACATTCCTTTTTTTCCTCTAGACTAAATAATTTCACACAGAACTGGGAAAGGGACCGTCATATTTCACCAGGCTGTACTACATCATCCACTCGAGCAGCTGCACACTCCAGCTCCAGCCGGCTAACTAGTCAGAAGCGAGGCAGTGACCCTGGAATTGGTGTGGGACAGCAAATATTAGACTCAAAATAAGCAAATCATCAGTGCTAATGGTGTAAGAAAGCCACAATCTTTTGATGTCATTGTGTCTCTATTGATCTGCCTCAATGGCCCTCAGTCTACTTCAGAGCCGCCTAAAAGAATGGATGAGGCTGGTGTCTTTTGGCTTTCTACTATTTCAGTGTGTCCTGTTACCACTGAGGTGAAAGTTTCCCATCATTATATTGTTGTTGACAAAAACTCTCTTCCTTCTCTCCAATCATTGATTATAATGATCACCCCAGTCCCACTACAGCTAGACCTTCATTTAGAGTCTGAATCCATGTGATATAAGGATTTTACTTTTTTTTGGCCACAGCCTTTACGCTTATTCATCTGTATTCAGTCCACAAAATTTGGCACTGCTCTTCCACAGAACCTGCTCCTACCTTGACTTTTAGCGAAGAATAAAATCAGCAGATCATTGCTGCATTCCTAACAGAGTCAAAACCCACACTGTTTTTCTGCTGCCGGTACCTCACGCCAGCAGTTTTTTCTGATGTTGAGGAAATCAAGCTCTGTCATTGGCAGCTTATAAATAGCCTTCTCCCCACTTTGAAAACATTCTTATGTAAATATTTCTCTATAGAGCATCTTAGCAAAACCATATGCCATTCCACAAGACTGTGTATCCTTTAGTGGTAGAGCTGAGGAGATGAGAATTGGGAGTAGAGAAATGGAAAGAGAGAATTAAGGAGGAGAGTGGTGGAGGGAGGTTTTAGGAGTGAGCAGCTAAACCACCTGGTCTCCTCCACTTATACAGCACATCGAGATGCTTTGTGAAAGCAGGACATGCCTTCATATAATGTCTGCAACTCAGCGTGTGTCGGGCTAGATATTCCGTTCCTTTCATGCCTAGCATAGTGAGAAAATCAATAGCACGAATGTGTTTTGCAAACATGCAGGTTTTCTCTACCAACCCTGTCACCTACAGTGTGTGACCTGTGTGTGTGTGTGTGTGTGTTGGGGGGGGGTGGCTGGGAGGTGGAGGTGGAAGGAAGGTGTTTGGGGTGGGGGTTGGTAGGCGCACACATCATTTCTGCTGTGCTGTTTTGTGATTTTAACTCCCCCTACAACAGGCAAAGGACCCGAGACACTGTTCGCGGGGCAGAAGCTGAACGATAACGAGTGGCACATGGTGAAGGTGGTGCGGAGAGGCAAGAACCTACAGCTGTCTGTGGATAACGTCACAGTGGAAGGTTAGTTGTGATTAGGACACTGAGGATTCATTTGGTGTGAGATGCTGTAAATGAGCGTGGTGCTGCATTCTCAAATCCACGTGTTCTGCTGATAATGTATGTACAACAGGCTCAGAGCAGCTGTTTTGCTAGTTGTCATTAAAACATCTGATTTGAGGCATAAAGGTGACAAATTAGAGTTAAAATGAATGAGACATTTTTATTGTTGAACTCATATTTAGAGATAATGGCAATTCAGCTGGCAAGCGTTTATTTGCAAATAATGCTAAATTTAAGATGTTTGTACCCAATTCCCAATCTCCATGACAACCTTCCAAGCATCCCGCAGTGACTTACGCTATATCTAATTTTTAAAGCCTTTAAATGCCAGGTACCTTAGCTGCAAAGCCTGGCAAAGCCATAAAAATGTATAAAAAGCAAAAGGATACATACATATTTGAGGCTGAATACAGACAGAGCTTTTTTGGGGATTTCTATTTTACTTACCACGAGTGAGCAAGCCAATGAACAAAGTTCAAAGAAATTGGTTCTGCCTGTATCCAAGAGAAGGATAAAAGGTCAAATACAAGGTGGAATCAGAGGCACACATAACATTGTGGCCTCAGGCGAAAGGATGGGAGGGCAAAGGCTGAGCGAAAAGGTGAGTTTGAGGGGGGTGTGGTAGATGAAAAGGGGAAAAAAAAGAGTGGGCATGTCGAGACCATTAGCGAAAATCAACCCTGTGAAGACTGACATTATTCACAAACTAGTGCCTGAGAAAGAAAAAAGGAAATGATGCCAAGAGATGCCTTGCGGGCTCTTCCAGGTTTTAGTAGGGAAAGGATTTCAATCGGCAGTTTACCAAGACCATTACTCCTTATCTGTCCTGAAACACAACTGTATTGTTTAGCGTAGATCAGCAATATAACTGATTACTATACTGTAAAGATGATAATAGTAATTATAAAAGAAATTAATAAAGGCTAATAATAATGAAATGTAGTACCATCTGCTAATGTTTTTTTCTTTGTTATCTTTGTTATCCACAATCTTTAGGCCAGATGACTGGTGCCCACACACATCTTGAGTTCCACAACATTGAGACGGGCATCATGACTGAGCGCCGCTTCATATCCGTGGTCCCCTCAAACTTCATTGGCCATCTGCAGGGCCTGACCTTCAATAGTGTGCCATATCTAGACCAGTGTAAAAACGGGGACATCTCCTACTGCGAGCTGAATGCCCGCTTTGGCATGCGCCACATCATTGCGGATCCGGTGACATTTCGAACAAAAGGCAGCTACTTAGCATTAGCGACGTTACAAGCGTATGCCTCCATGCACCTGTTCTTTCAGTTTAAAACCACCACGCCTGATGGCCTGATGCTCTTCAACTCCGGAGATGGGAGCGACTTTATAGTTGTGGAACTGGTAAAGGGGTGAGTTTTACTTGGGTTTTTCTTAATTGTCTAAATCATTTTATGTTTTTTCATTATTGTATGCTATGCCTAAAAAAGATGATGTTGCTTTTCCCCTGCGCTCTGGAGATTTCTGTCCACCAGCCCTTGTTTTTACATAAGCACATATATTTTCCCCACAGATCAGTGAGTCATTTAATGCTGCTATGAATCAGAGTGGGCTCGGTGTAACTTAGTTTAGAGTATGTTTGTGAGTAATCATAATCAGTCATCTTAAAAGCTCAGCTGAAAGCTTTGCATCCTGTAGCTTGTTAGTGGTTGGTCAACAGGAAGTAGAGATATCTGGTTTTTCTCAGGTTGTTTTTTTTTTCTACAAAGACTTGACAAAGCCATCACAACCCCAAAATAAAGTGGTTGGACTTGTGAATCGCATCAACCTAAAAGCTGCTTATAATTAGGGTCTCCAAAAGAGGCTTTTGGTAGTGTTTGTCTCTTCCCTTGTGCTCTGAATTCGGCATCGTTATGACACAAAAGCCTGAGCTGCTTCTACCCTGAAAAGACAAGAGGCTACATAAAGGAATTGGACTCAAGGTAGAAAAAAAAAAAATCACAAACCTTGAATGAAACAAGCACAATAGCTTTAACCCACAACACAAAAGACAGCCATATTTGTGTGAAGGAGGGAACTGTGCCACCGCATCTGCCTGTGGCCAAGCACAGAGTTTTAGACAAAGTAGGTATCTATATTTACATGTTTAACCAGCCAGAAAAAACTCCAAAACAAATCACAGTTTCCAAGTACAGTTACATAAACGGTTGGTATTTTCCCCCCAAAAAATGTTCTTACAGCATCTTGGAGAAAATTTAGGAAAAAAGTCACCCAAGGAAGATTTGATATAAAATTCAATTTTCCTGAAACAAATGAGCTTGTTTAAGTCGTGCACCGCTGTTGAGTTACAAGAGTTAGGAACACAGTCCTAATCCTGACGTCTTTCTTCAAAGGTACATCCATTACGTCTTTGATCTCGGCAATGGACCGTCGCTGATGAAGGGCAACTCAGACAAACCACTCAACGACAACCAGTGGCACAATGTGGTGGTGTCCCGGGATGCCAACAATGTACACACACTCAAGATTGACTCACGCACCGTTACTCAGCACTCCAATGGAGCGCGCAACCTGGACCTCAAAGGTAACAGCAGCACTGTAAAATCTTCCAGAAAACATTGGCGCTTGCAGGAAATAACTATCCCAGTGTCATCCGTGGCCTGTCCCTTTAGTGTTGTTGGAGGATGGCCATAAACACACGCCAGCTCAAATCCATCTAAATTATAACCACTCTGAGCATCCCAGTGGCTTTTCGAATAGGACTTCTGCATATTCATTGGTTTTCTTGAGGATTCCTTTGTTTTTGTGGGCATGTAGCACAGTTCTGGTTTGATATTCACACATATTGCACAAAAATGGCTCCAAAATCCACTTTGGTTGTGTTACCAGGTGCGTTTGTTTTTTGTTTCTTTGTCCGGGCATATGTGATTAACGGAGAAAAATAAATATGCTGGCCAAACAAGAGTGGACAGTGGTTGCAATCAAAAGGCTGTTTGCTTTAAAAGGTGATCCTCCTTGTTCAGCATGTGGAGGGCAATAACACCAACATCTTTCACCAATCACTATCTGACCTGAATCCAACATCACACCACAAAAAGAATCATACCAGAAACAATAACTGCTCTTCGCTTCTTGTTTAGACTGAAGATTTTTAAAAAACAAAAACACATAGTGAATTACTTTTACCCACAAAATAATGAGCTTATGTGATGGAGGCACCTTTTACTACTTTGACTTTTTAAATGTTGCGTCTCTGTGAATCCGCTCTAATTAAAAGCCTTCAAAGGAAGGCGCTCAGCAGTTCCACAAAATGTTTTACAGCATGTGAATAATATCTTTGGTCTGCTTTAAGAATGTCAGCAATCAATAAGTAACACGCACTTCTTGGATCTAGGGTATTAACAATGGACAGCAGAGGATAGACTGCTAGACCATGGCTAGACTCTTTCAAGTGCCACCATGAACACACATTAAGTTTGGCACTGGAGGAAACACTTTGATTTTGCCAGTGTTGTGTCCCAGAGCTTGGAGTGCTTTTCAGGTTACAGGGGATTTTTGTGTAAGAAACATCAGAAGTCAGGGTGACTCCCTGGGCACACTGATGGCTGTGAGGAGTCAAAAGATCAAAAAGCGGCCCAAGCTTTTTTGGGGAATGATTTATTCACAGACCTTACCCTTTTTTCCAGTTTTGTCCATTGCAGTATGCACAGTCCACCAAAGCAGAATAATCCTAAGGCAGTCTGTAGAGGAAGACGTATAGAGGAATGGGAAATCCATATCTTCCCTGGTTTACAAAGTAGTGAAATATGCAAGTGCAAGACAGCTAGCAAGTTGATCTTAAAATTTGCCACCTAAAGTGTAAGGATAAATGTTTTTTACATGTTTTATGTTGAACTATATTTTGTGGTCATTTCATAATGTTGTCAATAGTGAGTTCAGGAACCACTAGACATAATTGTTTGCTTTGAGTGTAGCTTTTAACGCTGTATAATTGTGTATTCATTCTCCATTGCATGCACTGCATGTATACAGCATGTCTACTGTGCAGTGCGAGGCGAGCAGGTTGGATATATTACGAGTGAGATACAGAATGAGACAATACCATTTATATTCCTATAGTTTACAAATTATTTACATTGCATGTGTTTGCATGTCTCCCCTCTGTGCATGAGAATTTGCTCACAGAGTGATCATTGTAAATATAGCTGCAACCAAAGCACAGCTGTTGTCTTGAATTTGTGTTTATGGCCATTTTGTCAAAAGATGTGGCAGTTTTCTAAAATTAGTGTTTTTAACAGTGCAGTGCTGCTGCTTCACAAAGTAGGCTTAATTAGCTGCATTTAAGTCGCTATTGCACACGCGCTGTGTTCTGTGTTAAAAACAGAAAAACACAGAGTTTATTTGAGATTTTTTTTAATGAATATTCAGTATGTATGAGTGAAGACATGTAACACCATGACACCCACCGATACTTGTCAGAATGCAAGCGTGTGATGACAACATGGTTATATTAATCTACACGTGACTACACGTGGCTGTCAGATGAACTCTTCTCCAAGCAATACAACTACTGATTATGCACTGAAGTGATAACAAACCGCACTTGATTCTAATAATATGCTTCCAACTGAACATACAAAGACAGCTGCCCAGCACAGAAGTATACAGCAACAATGGCACAATTTGCATATTCAAAATTACAGACACCAAATTGATTTTCATTTTCTTAAATGAAGCAGAAGGCATCTTTTCATTGTCCAATCAACACATTCTCAGCATGGCTGGGGAATAACCCTCCATCTGTGTCGTTAATGTGCATGCTGCTGTGTTCAAAATCTATGTATTTTCAAGGTTCCTTTTCTTTATTTGAACAATTCTTGCCTGCAGGGGGTAGATATCGAAGCAGCTTGGTGCTAGTGGGAAGAATAATGGCTGTAAATATCACTTTAGAGGACTTTAGAGGGGGTTAGGGGATGTCTCTATCCTCAATTCACTTGTCTAATTGAGCATTCAAACACAGTAGAACCACAGAGAATATCTGTGTCAATCCTCCTGACAAAATATTGCGCTCAAACACTGTAAACACAAGAACAAACCACCAGGGCTAAATGTGTGTAGTTTCATAGGTGATGAAAGTCTCTCGAGAATTATATATAAATATATATATTTAAATTTGATAAACAGAATATGTTTTTCCGCTTTTTTTATATACTCGTGTTACTTTTCAGTGGTTACACACAAAGCTTTGTTTTAAAAAAAACCCCAAAAAAACAGACGAAATAGCAACAATAAGACGTTCCTCTCGATCTCTTTGCTTTGCTTTAACACCATTTCAGTCTGTATTTCAAAGGGGAAAAAAAATCCAATTCTCCGAGCTTTATCTGTGTAATTGCACAGAGAAAATGGGGAAAATGGGTTTTGTGCTCTCTGTCTTCCTTTCCTTTGTTTTTGGACAGGCAAAAAATCTTCAAGGCATTCCTCTTTGTCAGCTAAAGTATGATGATGGAACAACACACACAGTCTCCCCAGGATAGCACTGAGCGGTTTTGTAGAGTAAAAGCAGGTCTTAGAGCAAGACCCGTTGTGATGCATGTTCAACATACATCACAAAGGGAATACGGCTGCGTCAGTTTTGTCAACATACTGCAAGTTGTTACCATATTCTTCTACTGCAATAGCTTGGTTTATTCTAGGACATATTCACATTTTTCTTTCCCAGTCATCAATATTATATCACGATGAGTGCTTATTTGTGGAACGTGAAATTACACATTTATTACTAGTTTAGAATATATAATAGATAGGAAATTACAGTAAAAACAATGCAATGATTATTAATGGTTACAGGTTGGTTAATAATTGGTTTGCAAACAATTATGTGGATGGTTTGAGCCCCAAACTTACTTGGTTAGACTTAGTAAGATCGAAGTTTGGTTAAAATAATAACTATTATCATCACACATGTGATGGACAATCAGTGGCTTTGACTAAGCAGCAGCATATATCAATAAAAGTTGTCACTGACATATTATATACTGTGTTTATAATCATAATCATACATACTATGTGCTATAAGCTGATATCAGCATAAAAAACATAGTCATATTCATGAATGTAGTTTTTTTTACAATTAGAAATATAATAAATGTACATTTTATTAGGATTATGAGTAAATGTAACAAAATGTGAGGGTCATTATAAGTATTACCACTAGTTTCATCCTATATAATCAAAAGACACAACAAAATTGATTGAAACAGTTTGTAGAATCTTTGGCTTCGTCTTGATGTAAATTGTTATTGATTACTGACATGCCTGCAGAGTCTCTGCTTTGATCCAATAATTAATTATTAATTATTATTACAAAATTAATTACCCCAGAATAAATAAAAATGTAAAAAAGGATTTTCTTGATTAAACACTCGCTTTATTCTCTGCAGGAATTTCATTTGATGCCTCATGCTGTGAGCTCTCCATTTGCCTCTTTCCATATTTTCCATTTTTTAACCCTAAATCTGATGGGGTGTTGGTCTATCCCCACGTTTCCTGTTTGAAACGTTTCATCGCTTAACTAATGCTGTTTTTGAGTCTTCAATAATGGCATATTTTAAAAGTCACAAGGTCTAACTGATATCATGTTACATTACTAATTACCTCGTTCATTTTCAGGCTTCACTATAATTATATGAACAAGACTATCACCAAGACGACAGCCTTCCCCTGGAAAGATAACAAGAACAATTAGCAGATTCTTTCGTTGTGACAGGAAGCTACAGGGTATACATGATATGTTTTCGTCTCGTATTACGCTTGCACCAACAACACCATTTGGGGTGGACAAAGGCTAAGAGACCCAATTTGTTTATGCTAATTATGGCAGTTATTACAATTAATTTAACAATGATATATTGATCGTTAATTCATTAGTGCTATATAAGGACACTTACCAGTAATTAGTTTTTCACTAAAGCCAATGAGAATATGTGTCCTTTGCTACATCCTGTAAACTAAATATACACATTTTTACTACTATTGTAGCAGTCATACTGTTGTATGGAGATCCATTCTTATAGATGCACAGAGATGTACTTTACTAAACACATGGTAGTTATTACATATTAAAATCTCAGTTATGCATTTTGAATTTTGGGAGAAAATGATTTAAGCTGGGAAGCTGAGCTGCCTTAAACCTCAGCACTAACGACAGATTTCATCAAAATAAAACAATAAATTCTTAAATGTAGGTCATTTGACTGGCACTACTCAATTTGAGCACTCGAAGTGCTTTCTTAATCTCTCTATCATACACACAGTCACACACAGGTTTGCACACACTGATGAATGCATTGTGTTCAACTCTGGGATCAGTAGGAGCTGCTGGGGATTGATCCACTGACCCACTCCAGCACCTGAGCCACAGCTGCCCCAATACGAAGCTAGTTTAACTTCAGGCTGACTGTTATTATAGCGATGCTTTTTTTACCTCTTTTAAATCTGAAATTGAAGTGAACAGTGCCGGGCCTGTGGAAAAGGAGGTAAACATAAACATCGATTGCCCTGAGGGAATAATTTGTTTTACTATGC